GTGAGAAGGATCAGGAAACAGTATTGGTTCCCCAGGTGTCTGGGGCCCCAAGACTAGGAATGGCACAGGGTCCAAGCTAGAGTATAGAATGCCAGGCGGGGAGGCAGGGGGGTGGGGGGTGGGGTGGAAGGGTGAATGAGGCTTAGGGAGTCCCGGCGCGGAGAGCTGCGCTATAGACTTACCCCAAGAGGCCTGCAATCTTGTGGTGAAACTTCGGTAGGTGAGACCTAGGGTTGCCAACCCAGACTCCTCTGGAGTAGGCCTCAGCTTCATTGTAGCTGATCTGACTTGAGTTCTTCAGGTGGTTGAAGTCAGAAATGAAGCTGGTGGAAGATCAGGGATGGGTTGGTGGGAACTGGTGGTGGGAACTGACCCACAGTGCCTCCCCTTCTTCCTGTTTCTCTATTTCTTCTACCACCACCCAGTTGAAGTCACTGTCATTGCCCACCTGAACTGCTTTTAGTGGCCACTGTCCCTGTACAGCAGTCATCTGTAGATCTTGTCTAGTTGGGGCCCTGCATGGGCCTTTCAGTGGTCTAGGCCCTGCCTGCCTTGCCTCTGACTGCTTATGCCTTCTTCCTAGCCCTCTTCTGCCAGCCCCATGACCTTGTACTTGCTGTTTCTTGGGTCTGAAGGGTCACCCTTCCCCGAGTGTGCCTCTTGGCTGCTGCTTTTCATGCTTCAGGTTTCTGCATCTTACCCTCCTCAGAGTGGCTGTTCACAGTGAGTGCCCTTCAGCTTCCCTGGGCCAAAGCTACCCCTTGCTTCCCTTGCAGGCTTTGCCATAGTTTGACACTATCCCTCCCTGGTCTTTCGGTCTATGTCCTTGCTCCTGTGCTTTGCTCCTAGAGACAAGATCTGTAAGGACCTCTGGAGTCCTGGCAGGGAGCAGAAGCCGGCAGATACTTGTTGAGTGAATCATCCTGAAGTAATTCCTTCTAATCTCTTGGTGACCATTCATTCAGAACCTTTATCTGCACGTAAATGCATGGAAAGAAGCATCTCTGCTTTTATTTTATTTGTATAATTTTTTAATTGAATTTTTGTGTATTTCATACAAAGCATCTTAATCATCTTTATACCCCCTTCCCCATCCGTACCCTCCCATAGCTCCCCACCGGATTTCATGCATTCTGTCATTTATGTTAAGGCTTATGGAATCGAATTAGTATACCCAGACATTCCTCAGTGCAAGTTCATCCACTGTGGTCTAGTCAGCCTATCTAAGGTCACTCCCTTAAAGAAGGTCAGCTCTCCCTCAGCAAGCAGTAATCAGCTGCCAATAGTTCTTTGGCTAAGGTTGGGGATTGCTGTCCAATTCCCCAGGTCTATGCTGGGTTTTTGTCTGATTGAGTTTGCGTGGGTCTTGTGCATTCTGATACTATTGCTGTAGATTCATATGTACAAGGTCCCAGGAACCTCTAAGACTCTGTTTCCACATGGCCATGCACCTCCTCCCCTGGCTCGTACAGTCTTTCCTCCCCGTCTTCCACAGCGGTCCCTGAGCCCCGAGTGGGTGAAGTTTAATGTAGGAGTCTTGTCCAGGGACCACACTCTGCAGACTCTTATTCTCTGTGCTTTGGTCATTTGAGGCCTTTTGTGTTCCTTGCCCTCTGTTGCATGAGGGGGCTTCGTGGATGATGTTTTTTATTCATTTTTTAAGTATTTAAGTATTTATTTGGGGAAGGTGGCACCTGCCACTGTCTGTACTAATGTGGAGGTCAGAGGACAGCTTGTGGGAATTGGTTCTGTCCTTCCTCTGTGTGCGTCCCAGGGCTCAAACCCAGGTCATCAGGCTTTGCAGCAACAGCCTTTACCTACTGAGTCGTCTTGCTGGCCTGCGTCTCTGATTTAACATAATTGGAATATACATTCTTCAATGTGTTCTTCAAAATTTGAAGGTGTGCAAGACTGGAGGTTAAGAAACCAGCTGGGAAGCTGATATGGATGAAAAGGGCCCTTAAATTAGAAATGGTATGGTAGAAAGGAGGCAAGGGAGAGTCAGCCCAACTGGAATTGGGGACAACCCTCAGATAGCCAGGGCAGCAGCGGCACCCTATTGCAGGGGCCTCCAGAGCCTTTGAACTGTGAAGGGAACATTCTGTAGCGGGAGCTGTAAGAACAGGATCTTGCAGCCTAGAGGAGGCAGCCCAAGCAGAGCATGGCCTATGTAGGTACCCCATAGTTCTGGGATCCTGCCTGGGTCTCTTTCCCTCGAGCCCTGCCCACCCCTTCCTTCTTTTTTCCTTTCACAGATATCTTGTTGATGAGCTACTTCCTGTCATACCCACCATGAGGCAGAGTCCTGACCCCTCTATAAGTCCCTAACTGTGAGCTCTAAGGTGAGCTCTTGAACTTTCCCTAAGTGTCCTCATCCCTGGCTCAGGCCAGTGACTCTTGAGGATTGTATGTGGGAGTCCAGGTGACCTGTGAGATGGCACCCAGCAGAGAGTGAGGACAAAGCACCAGTGGCCCTGGGAGCTCTGCTTTTCTTGATTTGTGTTGTGACTGGGAGTATCTCTGTCTGAGGATGGTACCTGTGAAATCAAGTTAGGTTTATCCTTGGAACCAGATAACATGTTTTACAAATGGAAGATGCTGCTTTTGCTTTGGAACGGTTTCTTACCAAAGGGTGGGTGCCTCCCCCACGAGCTGCTGGTTTGGGTAGCTCCTGCTTCACCTGCAGTGCTGGGCCCTGCCTCAGATGCTGGGTGAGCACTGGGCAGGTTCTGGGGCTGCTCTTCTTCTTAGGTAGAGAGGTAGTGACTTTTCTCCAGCCTTCTAGCTCCTCCCCTTCCCAGGCCCGGGCTGCTGCTTTTAGCCCTGTACCCTTCTCCCTTTGATTTTCTAGGTTATCAGTGCTGAATTTAAGAAAAGGAATTCTTTGCTTTGATTATTGTCCAGACAGGAACTTCCTGGGTAAGTGATCTTTGGTGTTTCTCAGAAGCAGAGCTGGAGCAAGGGCTGCAGAGGCCTGGGGACCAACAGAGCCAAGGGGAAGGCTTGGTAGCATCTGGCCTCTGGCTTCCTCTCCTGCTGATCTGAGGCACCAGGGGGTGGTGTATGACTCAGGCTCTGCCTGGGATGGAGGTAGAGAGGACAGGGTAGGAGGGACAGTGTCCTAGTTTGTTTCTTCATTGCTATGACAAAACACTCTGACCAATACCAACTTGGGGAGGAAAGGGTTTATTCAGCTTATATCTCCTGGGTCACAGTTCATCAGGGAGCCCAAGGTAGGAACTCAGGACAGGAACCTGGAGGCAGGAGCTGGAGCACAGGCCATGGAGGAATGCTGCTTCCTGGCTTACTCCCCTGGCCCCTGTTCAGCCTGCTTTCTTATGCAACACAGGCCCACCTGCCCAGGGGTGGCACCACCCACAGTGGGCTGGGCCCTCCCACATCACTCAATAATCAAGAAGATGCCCCACGGACATGGCCACAGTCCAGGCCAATGGAGGCAATTCCCCAATTGAGGGTCCCTTAACCCAGGTGTGTCAAGTTGACACTAAAGCTATCTCTAGCACAGACAGTGACAGAGCACCGTGACCTTCCCCCATCTGCCGCATCTGGCTGGGGTCTGAAACCTGGCCCTGAAAGAAGGTTCCAGTGTAGGCCCCATCCCGATACTCATTTCTTAACTCCAGTGACTTGTAGTTATGACCCCCCACATCCGCCTGTGGAACCCTCTGGTCTCTAAAAAGCCTGTGTGGATGATGAAGGGACACCAGACCTTAGTGCTACACCTTCTTGTGAACAACAAGAATACCAGCATCCTCATCAGCATCTCCAGGGACAAGGTATCACCTTCATGGAACATGCCATTATCCCCTATGCCTCCAACTTTGTTCGCCAGGAAAAGACATTGCCTAGCTCAGCATGCGTTGGGAGGAGTCTGGGGCATAGAGGAGTCAGGCCACCTTTTTGTTCATGGTCTCACACTTTGCCAAAGTCCTACAAGGAGGTGCCTCAGGAAGAGTCACTTTACAGGTGGCCACAGGCTTCTGGCAGTCTCTGGTAGGAGCCTGAGCCCAGCTTTCAGCAGTTCAGAGCTGGCCTGGAGTGGTGGCAAGTGAAGGTCTGAGGTAGGGTGTGGGCTTGCTCTTCTTAGCAGTTCAGGCAGAGCAGAAGCACTCAGGAAACCTGTGGGATGGAGCTGTGCTCTGACTCACTCACTTGAGAACCTGGGTTCCTTGGGCATCAGCATAGCCTCTCTGGGACCGTAGCAGACACTTAATACACGGTAGCCTTGTTCACAGGGGCATCCACAGGGTCTCAGGAACTGGAAGCATCTGAGGTACCAGAGGTTGTGTTGTGTTATATTGTCCTTTTCGTTGAATTCCAGGAATTCTTTAAGGAATTCTCATTGTTTAAGAGTGTGTTGTTCAATAGCCACGAGTTCGTGTTGTGACTAGGGCTTTGTCCAGTGTTGATTTAAAAATTTATTTATTTATTTATTATTATTATTTTTTAATTTTTAAAAATTTAATAACTGCGTG